AACTGTTCATCATCGATCAGGTGAGCGGTAATGAAAATGGGGGGTTGGGTGGGGATAAATATGAAGATATAATATAGTCTTCTTATGTTATTTAGTTTTGGTGAGTATCGATTAAAAATGTTAGACATACCCCGTATAAATATATATGTATACATATTTATGTCCTGCTTCGTTGTATGTGTGTGTGTCTATGTGTGTGCGTGTGTGTGTGTGGTAATCAATCCAAATTTGAATCATTACAGAGAATTATTATTATTATTATTGCTTAACTTACGTCTTCTTCCACTTCATCCTCCATTTGAGATCTCATAAAAATAATATTAACGTTATTAGTAATATTAATAATAATAATAATAATATTAACTGGTTAACAGATAAATGAATAGCTGGATAAGTTGTATAAGTGAATCCACCCTATTTAGGCGTTAGATATACAGATATATATATATAATTTGTCTTGTCGAATTTTGAGATGAGAGAAACAGAGCAAAAGACAAGGAATATTTTTTTTTACAACAATGAATACAACAGCAAAATCTTTAATTAAACACTGTCAAGTTTAATATTGGTCTTAAGTAAATCTCTCTTTCTCTCTCTCTCTTAGGAGAACAGTTTGATACATTAAAAATAATATTACTTTTCGATAATATTTATAAATACAAGATAATATGAATGAATGAATATTATTATATAGGCATTTGTATTCGCCAGTGGCTGAGATGTATATATATACGCACAAACACACACACACAAACACACTTTACTAGTTAATTTCAAGAGTACACAACTAGTTAATAATTGTACGATGATGAAGAACAAACAAGTGTATGAGGAAGATGCATATTAAAAATAAATTAAACTGGGCAGTAATGTGTGTGTGTGTGTACGTATGTATGTTCATTTTTTGTGTATCTTAATTAAATTCAATAAATAAGTTTTGTGATTTTAATACCATCGGGACATATAATTATTTAATTTTAATGAGTAAATAATAACAGTAGATATTTAGTAATATAGTAGATTTTTGAAAAGAAAAAAACAAAATAGAGAACTAATTCTCAATGATACAAAAACATTAATGAGAATAATGATAATCGTTGGATAACTGACTGTCTTATTCTATTATGGGAGATTTAGTAGTGTGCAACCGCAAACATTTACCAATGATTTTTAAAAAAATCAGAATTAGACATTAACACCATTGGATGCCGGCCAAGGTGGTCCACAGAAGTTAGGCGTTCTAGCACAAGACCGAAGGTCCCAGGGTCCGAATCCTGTGAGGTGCAAGAGTTGTGAATGCGTACTGCGGCTGATGAGTCCCATACCAGGACGAAACGGCCGTCTTTCAGTGCTTCCAAATTTTAACAATGATTGATTGATGATTTCAAATGTATACTTACCAATGATCAAACATAGGATCTTACACGCCTCTGTGGCGACTAATTTTATGCACGTCATTTAAAAATCTCTTCAATATGATAATCTGTTTATCAGTTATTAAAAATTTATTAAACATTATGACTGATAAGTGCAAAGATAATTCACAAATGTAACTCTAATCCCTGCAATGAATACAGTACTGGAACTGTGAATTCGTTGATCGATATCCGGAATAGGTCAAACCGAATTGCTTATACCATGAACTATTGAACACTATTGCGTTGTAATTGATTTATTGATCATACATGTCAAGGTTAATTAGAAAAATAACATTTGAGATGTCTACTTCAAACCAATCAATAATATAGAAAAGATTGTTATTCATTGATCAATAGTTTATAATTATTTATCATAAAATATGATACTTACATAATAATTGGACATTGAAAAAGAAAACTATCTGATTAAACAGGAATTCGGCGGAAAATTCATACATTTTGATCGCCTTAATAAATTTCAATCAACTGATATAAAAACTAGATTTGTAGAATAATTTGAAGTCTTGTGTTTATCAGTGATTTATCTAATAATGAAATGTATGTCTTGTATTTCATTCTAGTCATAATCAGCAATCATTATTGACTAATATATTTACTCTGGATTAAAAGCTACATATTCGGAATCATCAATTGTTAGACCACACCATTAGAAACCTGGAAGCACTGAAAGACGGCCGTTTCGTCATGGTATGGGACTGATCAGCAGCCAGTGCACATCCACGACTCCTTCACCTCGCGGGATTCGAACCCAGGACCTTTGGTCTTGAGCGCAAACGCCTAACTTCTAGGCCAACGGTGTTCATGCCTAACTCTGATTGATTAAGGAATTTTGCGCGACCTCACCCATTTGCCAAAGGGTAGTTACTGCCTACACCCGTGACAGGGTTGAACAAGTTCTACTCTGTCATATTAGGTTCACAAGTTAACTCTAAGATAATATTCACCTTAATGAAGAGTTTCATCAGATATACGTTTACAGTTGTCAGGTAAAAGTGTAAGGAGAATTTAAATAGTGTGAAATCGAATTCCACATAAAATACCTTACTGTTTTGTCAATATAAGATTTCATTTAAAATTTATAAGTTTATTGATTATGTCATAACATTATTTCGTCAATATATAATCAAAATGATTGTATGCGAAAATGATGTGAAAAGTATCAGAAATCATCTGTAACATTATTTAATGAATGATCTTACAAAGGATCGTAACATAAACAAATGTATTCTGGGATAAATTTGTAACTGTAGTAGTGAATCAATTGGGAAAAAAGTAAAGGCAGCATTTCTACAATGGAATAACATTTGGAACTCAAAACACAATTATCAACCAACACTAAATTCACAATTTGTTTTAATACAAATAGTTCTACTGTATGGGGAAGGAACTTGGAAAACTACGAAAGCCATCGTCCTATAGATTCAAGTGTTTATTCACAGATGTCTATGCAAAATACATCGGATTCGTTAACCATACAACATTAGCAACAATCTACTGTAGGAGAGTACAAAAACTAGATTCCAGAAAACGAAAAAAAAAATCAGGAAGAAACGCTGGAGGTGGATAGGACAGCATGCAACTGCGTCGCAAGACAATCCCTCACTTGAAATCTTCAAGACCAAAGGAAGAGTGGAGGACCAAAAAACACATTACACCGAGAAACGGAATCACACATGAGAAGAATGAATAACAACTGAATAAAACTAGAAAGGAATTCCCAGGATATAGTAGGTTGGTTAATGCTGGTTGGCGGGCCTATGCTCCACTGAAGGTAATAGGCGTAAGTAAGTAGGTAAGTAAGTAAGTAAGTAAGTGGAAAATCAATCACAAGTTGTAGAAAACTGATATCCCATAAAGAATATATTGTTTAAGGAATTTCAACCTTACTACTAATTTTGTGACATACTTTATATATAAAACGATTCTATTCCTCAGTAACTGATTGAGATACGGATACTTCAGGTTAAGGTGTACCAAAGAAGTACATTAACCTCATACAAGCTCTCTACTCGAACACTACTGATCGAGTGAGAGCTTATGGCGAACTGTCATCGGAATTCTTTACTTCAAGTGGTGTCCGTCAGAGATGTCCACTGTCTCCATTCTTGTTTAATTTCATCATAGACATGCTCCTAGATATAACCCTATCCTCGTCTGAATTTTCAGGAGTAGACCTTCTGCCAGGTGGCTCGCTAATTGACTTATAATATGCCGATGACATTGTCCTACTTGGTGAAGACGCTGACAAAATGCAGAGTCTTCTGACTACCCTAAGCAACAATGCAAGCATGTTCAGGATGCAGTTCTCACACTCGAAATGCAAAATGTTGTGTTCAAGATCGGGTTACATCGGCACATGAACTAGTGATAGGGAGTGAAGTAGTCGAACGTGTATACCGCTTCACTTATCTCAAGAGTCTCACCAGTGCTGATGGCCTGGTGAATGACGAAATCTCATCTCGGATACAGAAGGCTCGATTAGCTTTTGCCAACCTGCATCACTTACGGCGTAGACGACATATCCGTTTGCTAACCAAACGACGAGTGTACTGCACGGTAGTTCGCTCCGTCCTAATTTATGGCTGTGATCATGGCCAGTGAGAGTAGAATATATTCGTAGGTTACTGGTTTTCGATCATAGGTGTCTTCGAAGCATTGCTCGTATATCGTGGGACACCCAAGTGAGCAACGCTGTTATTAGGAATCGAGTGCTAGTTAAGGATGGCAGGTCAATAGATGAAGTGTTGAAACTTCATCAGTTGAGGTGGTTGGGACATGTGTTGCGTATGTCTAACCACCGACTGCCTTGACGAGCTTTGTTTTGTAGTGTAGGAATAGGTTGGAAGAAAGTTAGGGGCGGCCAAACCAAAACATGGCAGAAATCCATGAAGTCATTGACGACTGGACTTAGCCATGTCGGTAGGTGTCGACTACCTGGTTGGGGTCCGCGAGATGACAGTAATCGATGGTTAGAGACCTTGAATGACATGGCTCAAAATCGTTCGCAATGGCGCCGGTGCATTTATACTTTGTGTTCTCTCAAATCCTAATCTTCTGGGTTCTTCAATACCTCTAGTTTTGACTTTCTAAACTTTTCTCATTCAATCATACTTCTTGAATAATATCTTCTCATCCTAACCTCTCCGATTACTTCTAATACCTTTACTACCTCTTCTACTATTGGATTTGAATTGACAATTACATATCTGTGCTGATGTGGTATGGCAACATAAACTGATGTACTTACGTACGAAGTTCTACGTTGCATCTGACTGACTGACTGACTGACTGACTGACTTCAGAGTCTCTTTCCTTTTAGTTTTAGGTTGACAGCTTCATTTAGCCTCATCATTTTGAACGCCATCCAAGAATTAACGGCCTGAAAGTGACCGATTTAGACTTAATACTACTACTGATTAGGCATCAAATGATATACATATTTCAAATTCCGCTAATTCGTCACACAGCTTGGTCAATATCTATCGCCAGCGCTAATATCTATCTAACACGTGACAATTGGTCACAGCTTATCAATAGAAATGAAGGTATTTCTCTTTGAAATTACTCTCTAATGAGCATGTGATTATTATCAGTAGTAGTAGTAGTAGTAGTAGTAGTTTGAGTAGTAGTAGTAGTAGTAGTAGTAGTAGTAGTAGTAGTAGTAGTAGTAGTAGTAGTAGTAGTAGTAGTAGTAGTAGTAGTAGTAGTAGTAGTAGTATAAATCGAACAACAATATAAATAAAGCTGTCATATTTTCTTTGCATTAGACTGATATTAATTAATAGTAGAATCTAGGATGAGTGTTTCACTCTATTTGAGACTCATCATATGGATGAACGGCTTTGTCCAAATAGCTATCTATATATTAACGCGTTCAACAAATATTCAAACACATTAGTAATAATGTGATGCGAGCTACTTATAAGTAGTGTATGACGTGAGCATCAACGTAATTTCTGGCAGCAGAAGATGGGGGGAAGATCAAGAAAGGAAGAGTTAGAAAACAATGGAATTTGTATGAAACGCATGAATAAGTGACAATTGATTGATGTTTGGCAACAGAAACAGTCCAATTCCATAGGATGAACTGATCTTTTGAAAATGAACGATTTACGATATGGTTTTCCGATTTTACTGAGTAACTCTGTAGTTTTCGTTAAATACAATTGGGTTGCCTTCACCTGTGTTCTCCCTGTCTACACAAAGGATGAAGATTCCATGGCCGAAGGAGTTTGAGGACGGAGATGTGCGGAGCTTCCTGAAGGAGTTTGAGGCCGTGGCGGAGCTGATGGGGGTGAAGGAACCGAAGGCAAAGCTGGTGGTGCTGGGGACGCTGCTGAGAGGAAGGGCGAAGGCCGTATATGACAACTTGGACGGTGCTGGCGGGAAGATGGCGTGGGAAACGGTCACCGGGCGGATGATGACGGAGTTCGGCAGCCCGGTGGACAGGGAGGAGGCGTTGCAGAGGTTCCGGTTGGCGAGGCTGTCGGCTGATGGTGATCCGTTGGTTCTGGCTGTGAAGCTCACGATGTTGCTACGCCGTACGCTGCCGAATATGGATGAGGAGTCGGGGGCACAGTTGTTGGCGTCGCAATTTATCGAGAGTGTGCCTGCCGCCGTGTCATAGCAGCGGGAACTAGTAAAGGCTACACGTTGGATAGATGCTGTATCCATTCCAGACCAGCGGGCAAGAACAATGGCCGAAATGGTGATCCGGCATATTGTAGCGTGTCACGGAATACGGAAGGTGATATTAACTGACCAGGGTCTCTGTTTTGAAAGGCTACGACGACAGCTTATTAAAAAGGGGGACGAGTGTGGTGCGAGCTACTTATAAGTAGTATATGACGTGAGTGTCAACGTAACGTCTGGCAGCAGAAGATGGGGGAAGATCAAGAAACGAAGAGTTAGAACACAATGGAATTTGTATGAAACGCATGAATAGTGAAATGTCAGACAATGGATTGATGAATTGGATTGAAGATTTGCAAATTAACCTTTTACGATATGGTTTTCCTATTTTACTGAGTAACTCTGCAATTTTCATTAAATACAATTCGGTTGCCCTCACCTGTGTTCTCCTTCACTACAATAATATGAATCCGTCTAAGTGTTACAAATACACACACCATATCAATTTTAAATCAATTAAAAGTGTTTTATTTTCAATACATACATACATAGATGAAAAGAAAAAAAGTGAGATGAATAAAAATGTAACTACTTTGAAAATGTTAACTAACATAAGTTGTTACACTTGTTAAGGTAAATAAAGAAAGATTTAAAATATTGTGCGAGAGATAGTGTACGGTGAAATATATCCAATTATTCCAATGTTCAAATACATGTATAAACAACCGCATACACATGCACACACACACATTGTCCAACCTCCACGTGTACAAACATTGGAATGTATATAAACAATTGTCCGAATAAATAAACAGATTGTCATATGCGTTGTGTATACTACTACTTCACACAAAAAACAAAAAAGCAAATGACATTGAACATTGGAAAGAATCTATTTTCTATCTATCTATCATATTCATCCATGTTGTAATTGATCAATAAAGAGATTTTGAATAAATAATAACAAGCAAAAGGGGTGGTTATATAATATATATAACTGAGCCTACTAGTTCAATTCTTTTTTTACATGTAATCTATCCATGTGTGTGTGTCTATGTGTGTCTATGTGTGTGTGTGTCAGTGTATTTTCAAAAGAAAAAGACCTTGAAATGTTTATGTTTGTGTGTGTATACGTATGTATGTATGTATGTCAGTCAGTCAGTCAGTCAGTCAGTCAGTAGTACATGTTGAATTACATCATAGCTTATTATTATTATTATTATTATTATACACAAATAAATGAAATTGAATAATTTAACAGAGTACACATTATTTTACATGTATGTATTCAATAAAAAATATTTCATATATATATATATATATATATATATATATATATATATATATAGAATTATCATAAATATATATATAAATATTATAATTAGACTGGAAGAAGGATAGAAGACAAAGAAAAGAGAAAAAAAAATTGAAGAAAAGCTAATGAACATATTCATTATAGAACAAGCGTAATTTGGCGCCAACTAATTTAAATTAAGAGTTTTTATTTATTCATTCAAACAAACAAACAAAAACACCATGCAACATTGAAAATAATAATCATAATAATAATAATAATAGTAATAATAAAGGCAGCAGTACTTATACAACACAAATATGTTTTGTTTTAATTTGTATATATAAATATACTACTGTAATATCTTTTTGTATGTGCATATGTAAATGTGTGTAGTTGAGTTGTTGTTTTCTGTTGAATTAAATATCTGTATGATAAATCATAATAAACACTAGTGTACATATATTTTAACGTAGTGTATGAACATAAATGAGAGTGAGTGAGTGAGTGAGAAGGAGAGAAAATATAATAAACACGTATCATGTATAATATACAGTGCAAATGAACAACACAGTTCTGGTAAATAAAATTTCATCAAAAAATCGATCGATATTTAAGAATGATAATATAACATGCCAGAATCAGAAAGTCCATTGTTGAATAATGACTGTCTGCAAATCGATTTTGAAAGTAACAGCTTTTTAGGATGATGATGATTTGATTTGGGTTTTTTTTGTATTGATGACACCGGTTAGGAATTCGTTTCAAGCTGTAATTAAAGAAAAATCAAAAAATATTAAATAACAATCATAATTAGGGAAAATAATGTGTGTAATAAGAGTGGTGGCGGTGGGGGGGGTGCGGAGGCAGTTGTGCTTAAATAGCCAGTTGAAATGAATTAGAAAATCAATGAGTAATAAGAATCATTGTTTCGGACTGTTTCATACTGTGGTGCGCGCTACTTATAAGTAGTATATGACGCGAGTGAAAAAACGTAATGTCTGGCAGCAGCAGAAGATGGGGGAAGATCAAGAAAGGAAGAGTGGGAACACAATGGAATTTGTATGAAACGCATGAATAAGTGAAATGTCAGACGATGGATGATTGATGATGGATTGAAGATTTGCAAATTAACCGTTTACGATATGGTTTTCCTATTTTACTGATTAACTCTGTAATTTGAGATAAATACAATCCGGTTGCCCTCACCTATGTTCTCCTTCACTACAATGTGTTTATGTCTAACTTGACCCTGTAATGCAAATGTACTGTACTAATTAGTGACTAGCTTCGTGAGGAATCTTCTCCGAGTTCTAGTGGGAAGACGTGACCAGTGAAGTTCAACCTGTTCGTGTGTAGACAGTAACCACTACCGAACACTGTGTATGAGGTTAGGCAACTCCGTGAATTGATCAAGTTAGACATTAACACCGTTAGATACCAGCTCAGTGGTCCGATGGTTAGGCATCCACGCACAATACCGAAGGTCCCCGGGGTTCGAATCCTGCCGGGTGCAAGAGTCGTGGATGCGCACTGCCACTGCTGATGAGTCCCATATACCAGGACGAAATGGCCGTCGTTCAGTTCTTCCAGGTTTCTAATGATATGGTCTAACATTGATCGATTCATGGTTTCACGAAATGTGTAACATTTAAAACTATTCTTTTTTTCCAAAACACCACTTCTCATCATTCATCATATCCTTTATTTATTACATACTGAGCGTAATTAAAACAAAACTCATGCAAAATGTAACAATTTACTCATTCATTCATTTATTTTAAAAGTCAAAAAAAAAAAAATAAAAATAAAAATTCTATTTGTTTTTTTCTCTCGAAAGCTTGTAAATCCTTATTTATTTATTTTTATTTTTTAAAATCAACCAACCTTCATCTCATCACAAAATTACATACACACTAACTCTATCATCACATATTTATTTATATCACTTCATCAGTTGGTGTGTTCGTTTCGCTCAGTGAAATGGTTTATTTATATAATGATTTAATGATGTAAACAAGCCAGTGGTTTTTTTTGTGAAAAAATTTCTCTAGTTGCGTGTTCATAGACAATAAATCAATATTAAAAAATAATTTAAAATTTTCATCATAAACTGTGTATGTTTATAAGCTGTTAACTAGATAATATTTCTTTCACTTAATTAATAAGTTAAATAGAAGAGTAGTGAGTGAGTATTATTGTGGAAAGAATCACTAAATGAAGAAGTTTGGTGAAATTTAGTTTTATTTTGTGGATGACCGACCAGATTTGTGTATAATACACCATATCTTCACACTACAACAGGTCTCGGAACATAGATACACATTTATACGTCCGACAATAGTTGTTTTCCTGGATCTGAAGTCGGCATTTGACTCTGTGGATCTTGTCTGTCATTGAAAGGTGTACCAAAGAAGTACATTAACCTTATACAAGCTCTCTACTCGAACAATACAGGTTGAGTTAGAAGAGCTTATGGCGAACTGTCATCGGAATTCTACACTTCAAGTGCTGTCCGTCAGGGACGTCCACTCTCTCCATTCTTGTCCAATTTTATCGTAGACATGCTCCTAGATATAACCCTATTCTCGTCTGAATTTTCAGGAGTAGACCTTCTACCAGGAAAATCGCTTTCTGATCTAGAATATGCTGATGACATAGTTCTATTCGGTGAAGACGCTGACAAAATGCAGAGTCTTCTGACCACCCTAAGCAACAATGCAAGCATGTTCAGGATGCGGTTCTCACCCTCGAAATGCAAAGTGTTGTTTCAAGATTGGGTTTCATTGGTACCTGAACTAGTGATAGGGAGTGAAGT